TCTTCAAATTAGATTTTTTCTTCACATTTGTGACCTTTTTGTGCGTTTTGTCAAAGAAAATTTTGCAAACGCTTAGAAGTTTAGAAAATTAGGCATAAATGATCTAATTTTTTAACCAATTATTTTAACAAAATTTTATTGCGATAGAGCTGCTGAATGAAGCTGCCGAAACTGGTTTTACTTTTTAGTAATATGAAGTTTTTTAGCCTAAAACACCAATTTTAACATCCGAGAAGTTACTAACAAACGCTTTACTCGCAATTTTGAAATTTTAAAAAATCTCGTTCGAGAACCCAACTGGAAGGGCTTTAATATGATGTATCACTCAACCCATTCCGATGATTATGTGTTGTGTTTGATTTTGCATGGAAAACAAAGAATAGAAAGAAAAACTACAACACGCCAAAAGACAAAATTCGTCCTATTTTTAAGATGTTTTTTTTAAGTACACGGAAAATGCCTATGATGGAAAAAACCATAGTAATTTTGAAAAAAAATCAGAAAATATCTGAAAAACAAAGGCCAACGCCAACATCATGTTTCTTTCATCAAACACAAAACCTGACAATTTCTCTATTGATTGATTTCAGGTTTGAGTTATTTATACTTTTTTAATGAATTAAATTAAATATTCCTGAATTCCTTTTCAAAATAACTCCTTTTCAAATTATTGAATTCCTTTTCAAAAGTTTATTAGAAGGTCTTTCTTTTCAATTTGTGTTGATTTTAGCCGAAAAAAGATGATGACAAAACCTAGACTAAACTTCGACAGAATTAAAAGGGTTAAAATTGTTCTGCAAAAATTGGACTCAAACTTTACCCCAAAGAGACCATTTTCGACTTTTTTTAGTAAATCAGTAATTCTCCAAAACATTGGTTCAATTGTTGATAAAAGTATATTGAAGTGCGCCTATTATGCAGCCCAACAAAAGTTAAGAAAAGTTTAATCGCCAAAAATGATGCAAATTGATTAAAAATTGTCTTTCAAAATAGGTTTATTCACACAAAACAAGGAAGATAATACTTTTTTAAATTCTCTTGGGCCACATAAGAGGCTCATATTGCTATAATTTTGTCAGCAATTGATTGGCTATTCTTAACGTAATTTTGAATTGACCAAAATTGATAGCTTTTGGGGTAAAACTTTAAGCCCAATTTTTGCAAAATAAATTTGGTCATTCTACCGAAAATCTTTCTTAGTTTTGTTCATCATTTTTCAGTTAAAATCAATCTAAATTGAGAAAAACGCATTTCCTCTTTCAAGTTTTTTTCATTTTGACTGGATAGCATAAAACCTAATCTTAAAAGCAGTCCCCCGCCCTATTGCAAGCAGGGACAGGTTGATAGGTTCAATGTTTTTTAAGTGCTTGGCCGTTCAATTCGTTCATTCTGTTGATGGATGTCTGTAACAAGAAACTATAGGCGGAATTTAAACATCACCTCGAAAAAGTTTAGAGACAGGAGATTTTAAACAAGAGAATAAATCTTCACATAAAAACACTTTGCAAAAGCGACCCACCCGATGAAGTCCAGTTGTGCAGTCTGTAGCATTTCCCTGATGAGGTGAAGGGGAAGAGGAGCTTCTGGGGGGTCGAGGGATGCCAGGAGGAGGAGGAGGAACATGTTGCACCTCTCTCGTTCCACGCTCCTTACGTGTAACAAGTCCTCCATGAACCTCTCAGCAAACTCACACTCCAACACACTGAAAAACCACCAAGGCTGTTGACTTTTAATGCTGCTTGAAAAGTCATCAAAGCTGTGGATTTTTTTTTCATGCTGCTTAAATATTTGAGTGTTAGGGCTGCTTAAAAATTTCTGCCTAACTACAGAAAGAAAATGAATTTGCCTTGAAATGATTATTCATTGGATTCAACATCAATTTCGTATGATGACTGTTCTATACGTATTTCTCAGAGTATTCACGAGTTTCATAAGTAGATCACTTATACCCAGATTCAATGTCATTGATTTGAAAATTAGCTTCGAAACTGTCGTAAAAAACCGGCATGTTATAGGTATTTTTCAACAATTTTTATCCGAAGTATAAACAGTTTTTTAAGAAAACTAGTAGAAAACGAGAACATTTGATTTCAGTTTCCTTTTCTGTGAGACGCTTAGTAGGAGCCTTTATTCTCGCCTTCTGAAAACAGATATCTCAAAAACAGATATCTCACCCAAAACAGATATCTCAAAATAGTACAAAGGGGGCCCTTTGGGTCAGCAGGGGGTCGAATTCCTGAGGAAGAAAGCGTTCCACCTCGCCTCCCACCCCCCCCCCCCTAAATCCGCTACAGCAACTAATTATTTAATTAACAAAATTGATTTCTTAGTCGTGTGACAAGCGACTTTTCAGCATGTTTGCAGAACTCTCATATCAGTCCATAAATCTATCAGGACGCTTGATAACTAATATCTGCTGCACGAATATATTTTTTTTCGAAACAATCGAAACAATTGCTGTCTTGTCTTGTCCTTTTGTGCATGTGTGCTTGTTGTGTGTATGTTTGTGTGTGTGTGAATGCCGGGATGGGGGGGTTGTAGGCACGTGTATATAAGTATGTGGCTTACTCGAATGCATATGGCTTCTCTGTCTCGATCTCCTCCTCTAAATTGTAGGCCATGTAGCTCAGCTTCTTCCGGTCCATCTCTGAAACCAACCAATCGTATCACATCTTCTTCAAAATGTTTCAAATTATGACATTACGAATTTTAATTTAGACACCTTCCCCAAAAATGCATGCTTTCAAGTTAGGTAAGTTTTTTGTCAGAATCTATCAAACAGTCAAATGAAAGCTAAAATCTTGCATTTGCATAGGAGTTTGTATGAATAGACAGACTTAAACATAGTTTTTGCCACTAAACTTGCCACTAAACAGATTGCCACTAAACTAATGTTGCGGAGTGTACTGCTCCTTTTGTAATTTCAAAACTTAAAGGCCAAGGTTGTGGTAAAAAATTCCCCTTATATCCATGCATTTGCTTCTTTGTTTCAGCAATTTTTGTTCTGGCTTTCGAAAAAAGTGAGGAATATATATGCCCGAAACGGTTTTTTTTTATTCAGAACAATTTTAGAAAAGTTGAAAGCGTATGGGCATCGTTCTAAAAATCTTGTGATTGCGAAGCAAGTATGCTTGCACTTGACTTAGTGCTGGAATAAGACTTTCATATTTTGTTTCAATTAGCGAATTTTTTTATGTGTGGCAAATTATCAGCACTCATAACGTTCCAAATTGAATTGAGGCGAGCTAATAGTTCCTATTAGTTCCATAAACGAATCAAAAACTTGATCTTATCAGCCTACACTTTGTATTTTGTCAATATTTCCAATATTTCTGCCAATATTTCTGCCAACAGTGGAGTGCGCAGAAATTTTTCTAGGGGGGAGGGCGGTTTTTCGAGATAAAAAATACAAAATTTTGCGGCCTTTTTTTAGGTCGATCAATTTGATTTTCCGAGCTCTCCAAAAACACTATAAGGCCCCTATTTTGTCAAAAATTTTGTGCGCCGCCTTGTCAAAAAAAAGCGCTTTTAGAAAAATTTTGAGGTCAGCCAGTAACGGATGTCGTAAAGTTATATCAAAGCAACTAAAAATGAGAGGGGAGGTCGCCCCCCACCCCTCGGCACGCTACTGTATGCCAAAAGGATTCGAGACAAATTAGTTGGCAGTCGGAACATTCAGGACTTTGCCCTGATACGAGCAGTCGTGTTTTGTATTATATCCACCATCCCATCTGGCATGCGGCTAATTTTTATCGCGAGATTTAAATCAAGTCAGACATTTAGGCACAAATTTATATAACTTGACGTGTCTGGGCTTCACCTAGACCTTTAAGTGTTAAATTTTGTCTTATTTTCATTTTGACGCAAGTTTTATCAAAAAGTTTTGGACTCAGAACTAAATCATGATCTTTGATTAGCACGAACCAGTTTCGCAAAAATCAAAATACGAAAAACGCGCTAATCCATCGAAACATTGCAAGCATTGAAAGAACTCTTGGGCTGGTTTTGTGGACTTAACTTTCTTATGCTACATTTACGCACACGGCATCTAGAGAAGGCATGCTACGCTTTTCATGCCTTTTTATATAACTTTTTAAATTTTTTGTAGAGGGCTATTTAACTTTTCGCTGATTGAAAAAATTTGAACAAGAATATAGTTTTTTGCTAAGCAATTTCTTGCAACAAAAATTGTATAGCCAGCCTTTTTTCATTAATAATTTTGGTTAATCCAAGCTGTCAAGTCGCCTTAATCGGGTTTTTCTGAAACATAAAGAACCAGGCTGAGTTGTTATGATGCTGATTAAAAGAAAGTAAAGAAAACCGTATTTGGAAATTCCATAAAACTAAATTTATTTGAACAAAAAGATTTTGTTGCCACAAAGCCTTGAAACAACCTTTTTTTCCAAAAAAAATCGCTGTTTTTCATTAAAATTTCAACCAAAGATAATTTTTGTAAACCAAAAGCTTCTTTTGAACGTTTGGCGTGAAATGCTTGTTTGAAAATTCATTACCATAGAATTACATCAGTCTTAACATTTGACAAAACTGTCAGCCACTTAGAAATTCAAAGTAATAGCTTTGTATCTATCCATATAAAAAAAACTGATTGCTTATGGCAGTGTATAAGATTTTTTATGCGGAAAATATTATAATTCTTCTGAAGTTAGATTGCATTTTATCACACGGCTTTTTATTTAATTCTGTTGATGACACCATAAGCGAAGTAAAACACATCAAAAGTTGTATGCAAAAATGAAGTGAAAAAACAAAAAACCAAATATTTTATAATTTCAATTTTTTGAAAAATTTTGAATCATACAATTTCATTATCTCAAAAAATGCTGATCAGATTTATATCTTACAAAATTTTGAAACCAATGAATTTGTATGAAATCTTATAATAAGTTCGTTCCTTCTGGTGATTGTATGTTTTTTATTTTTGATAAGCCAGGCTGTTGATGCACTGATGATTTCCTTCTTTTCCCTCTTTGGAATAATGCATTTTTATTCCCTATAAATTTAATTTTGTAACAAATTAAAAAACAAAGCGAGAACCGATAGAATTAAACTTTTTAAAAAATTGGCTAGATATACACGCTTTTCAAACTAATTTTCAATTACCAGCATATTAAAAAAATTGATCAAAATTATTCGTGCAAAAATATTTTTTTAAAATTCAAGTGAACTCAACTTACTATACCTTCCGTACTGAAACTTCAACCTCGAAAAGTCTTCGAAAAATTATTTTTCTATTGTCTTCGGTTTTGATATTGAAAAAACTTTACTATTTTTTTTACTAATCAGAACCTGTAATTTGATTCAATGCATGTAATTTGATTCAATATTCTTTGTTTAAATCAGGGGCAATCTAAAGTTTTCTCGAGGGCTGGATTAGCGGATTCTAAGAAAAATCGAAAATTTCAGAGACTTTTTAGGCCAATCAAATTAATTTTCTGAGCTTTTTTAACACTATAAAGACCTCATGTTGTTCTGAAAATACTACGTTTTTTGAAGGTTTCTACCAGAAACTTGATTTTTATAGGCGCGCGCTCCCCTCAAAAATAGTTCCAATTAAGGCCGAAGGCTCCTTTACAAAATTTGAGGGTTGTTCAGCCCTTTGGGGGCAAAGGAGAGAAATCCCTGAGGATTAGGGTAGATTTCAGACTAGAGGAGGTAAATTAAAGGAAGGGTAAAAAACGGTTTTTGAGATGGATTCGTATCAATTTCTTAGATCGATTTTTAAAAGTTAGTGACGCTGGTGAGTTTCAATCTATCAAACCTGAGTTTATGACGAGTGAGTTATCTCTAGTGGGGAAATTCATAAACAGTTCTTCCGCTTTTTCCCCAAACACCCCATATGTCAGAATATTCTTCTTGTAAGTGGGCTGAAACCTCTCCTGTTTGGCAAGTTTCGATCTCTGAAGTCATAACAAGTACAAAATATTGGTTATCGTGAGAATATAATTTAGTTTAATCATCAATTGAATCAGGAGGTGCTTTTTGAAATAGCATCGCACTTCAATTAACTTGAATACCTGCTTGTACCAATTGCATGAAAAAGACATTCTCGTTCACAGTCAAAAATTTAAAGCTGCATTTTTTGTTGAAATTTGAAAGTTCGAAAACTCTCAATTCACTTCCCAGTTTCTTTTGAATTATTACATAATTCAAAAGAAATCAGAACAAAATGGCAATAGCAAAGCAAACAATATTATTGCTCAAATTTTTTGCACGGATAATCAAAAACAAGCATTCAATTAACAGTGCCGAGAGCGAAAAAGGTTTCATATTTACAAAAACACCCAGTTTTTGGAATAATTTTGTTTCATTTCAATTTTCTAATGAACTTTCACTTTTTGTTCCGAAAGTTACGGAATCTTTGTGTTCGGGGTAAATTTTTTTCTTGAGACAAATTTTGCCTTTTTAACTAGCGATTTTTGACGGAATTTCTAAGAAGTTTTGTTGTCCTGAGCTTAAATTTGAAAAAATATTTCACCAGTGATCTTTTTTCGTAAAATTATGGTGTTTTAAAGATTGCCATTTTGGCCAATTTGGGACAATTAACGCGAGATATATTTGTCAAACATGTCACATTTAAAAAAAATCATTTTATTACTTTTTCTTTTTTATTACATTTAATTTTTTCATCTTATTACTGCTTCATAGTCCTTAAAAGACATTCGGAACATTCAGGGCTTCGCCCTGGTACGAGCAGTCTTGTTTTTTTTAATAGCACAAATGGATGTAAATTTTGTAATTTTGTTCGTTGGTATATTAGTTGAAAGATTTATTGTTTGAAGAAAACGGAACAATTATGCTTAGTGTCTTTTTTATTCAGCTAATACCAATTTCGGGGATCGAAGTTATAGTTTTTAACCAAAAAAAATATTACCCTACTGAAGATGTCAACTCCCTGAAACCAAATTTAAAAAGATCTCTTATCCCCGATCGATTTTTGCAATGTTTTTGAAGTTTGAAAATAGCCAACCTGGCCATATTCTGGACTAAATTATGCGCGCTTTGAAGATTTTTTTTTCAAAATGCTGAAAGCGTAACGCGAATTATTTATGCGTGGCAAATTATCCCAAATAACAAAATGGTTCCAAATTGAAGTGAGGCTAGCTATTCAGTCGTATTAATTTCGTACTACCTATGTTTTCACACTCGATCTTCGATATTGTCCAAAATTTATAGTTTTCCGATATGTTCTATTACCAAAAACTATGCGAGACCAATAAGTGTGCAGTCGGAACATTCAGGGCTTAGTCCTGATATACTAACAGTCGTGTTTCGTAAGTTTAGGAGAGTACTTTGTATTGATTGATGCCAGCAACATGGAATATTTCTCGGTTTTTCTAGTGACTTAGTTTATGGAACATAATATTTTTCAAACCTTGCGAAAATTTGCTTGAAAATATTTATGATTAAAAGGAATTAGTTTTAGGGGAAATTTTGCTTTTGAACACGTTTTATCGAAAGGTTTGGAAATGTATCTTCGTAAAACATAACAAAACCCATCCATAGCCACCGTGCCTGAACAAAACAGTCCTGTATAAAACACTCCGGAACAGCAAGAAAAAGGACAAAAACTGTCCCAAAAAAACTAATTAGACAGTCTCCTAATTTGTTTTTATCCCTTTAAATATTATTTGGACTGCTTTTGTTGCAGATTGATTTTTGTGAGTTTTCATAGTTTTTTGAATTGTTTTCATTATGATTGTTTTTTTTTATGGCACGCATTCTTTATGGCACGCAGTTTTAGCACATATTTTTTATCTTTGTGGCACGCATTTTTTTTAGTTTAAAATTGGAAATTATGAAGTTTTATGAATTTTAAAATGAAATAACCGTTTAATTTTGTTCATTTTCGACATAAATTTTTGTATTTTTGCAAGTTTTTCTTCCACGAAAAATGTCAATTACAAAATGAAATGATTTTTATCTAGTAACGCGTTATTTAGTCCTATAAGCTTGTCTCCTTTTATGATTTGGAATAATATCTGAGCCGGTTTAGTTTACAGCTTGCGGTAGGCGTTCATTTAACACGCGTAATTTTTGCCCATTAGTCTATCCCAAATGGGTCCATTTGGTTATTTTCAAACGCACTTTACATCGAAAAAAGTGATCGCCCATTGAATAACTTTTGACTTTTAAGCTCAGGGCTTTCAGATCGTAAAAAAATAGCTTGTTAAAAGTCTCAGATTTTCTGAAGAAATAAAACACCCGAGCGCAAATTCTTTGTCTTTTTTTCGATAGTAAGAACAAAACAATCGAATTAAAACAGAAATAAGGTTTTTTCATGTTATTTTTTGAAAATTGTCAAACATGATAGAAAAATGGTTATTACGATCTATTATATGGAAGAACAATTTAGTCGTAAAAAATTAAATCAATAAATTGAAGTACGGCTTATATGCTCAGATGTTCTAAAATATGTTCACAAAAGATGATTTCAAAAAAATCCTATTTTACTTACGATTGGGTGCTTCGACATTTCAGACTGTGTGAAGAAATTATGAACATCCAGACGATCAATTGCTAAAAGAAAACCCGTTTTGCATTTTGTAATAAAAAAATTAATATGATATTTTCTAAAAACTAATTCTCATACCAGATATGAATTTTCCGTCCAGGCTCCATACGTTTGGCAACGAGTCAATGATATGAGTCCGATCTAGAAAAAACAACAAAAAATATTTTAAGCTTTTGATTTCATTATCACAATCGCTGACTCAAAATTGTGCTTATAGTTCGATTTTTTCAAACCATATTACATAAGGTAGCGGGAGAAAAACTATAATAGAGTGACGAAGGTTAAAAAACGTTTATTTTTTAATTGATTTTAGTTTTAGGGTCTTAAACGATTTGAAAATTTAGAACGTTCCGATGAAGATTTCCAATTTCAGATTTCCAATTTACGAGTTGCAGTATAGTATTCTTCCACGGCGTCAGACAAAATCTTAGAATCTATTATTTTTTTCATTCTTTACCTCCGGAATTCTCAAAAAGAATAGTAAAAAAAAGGATTTTAAAGGTCTTTTTCACAAAAAAAGCTTCAAAATTAGGGAATAACTTTTGTTAATGCGAATCTTTTGTACTTCCTGTCCGATTTATGAGTCGAGTGCAATTTTGCCTTCACAAGTCACAAATCACAAAAATGATACATTATCAAAAATTGTTCGGCTAAATGATGACTAACAGTATTTGTCCTTCTCAATTTCGACATTTCCTTGCAGGTGGAGATTGCAGATGTGAATATGTTTAATATCCCCCAGACTCTTCCAAGCGAGGTTATTAAACGACAAGTTCAAAGTGCCGAAAGCGACAAATCGAGACAACCCCGTGACAGATGTCAACTCATTGTGGGCCAGGTCAAGATTCCACAGGTTTTTGAGCGTGTAGATATTTTCAACCTCTTTGATGAAATTTCCACGAAGGTTCAAAATTCTCAACTCGTAGCACTTCTGGAGGTTTTCGATGAACACTGAACAAATAAAAAAGCAATTATGGTGCATATTACTTCAAGAACTTAAACTCAAATGTACAAAATTTGAGAGGAGCGGCTTATGGTTTCCGCCACATAGACGAAAATTCAGTGATTCGAGGCCATCGTGATCCGTTCTCGTTGCTTAGGAGCATGAGGCAAAACTTCCCAACCCGGAAAAGTACTAAATCATCAAATTTTTTAAAAGATTTTCTTTTGTTTTTGCGTGTCCTAATTGAAACAACTTTATTGCTAAAAATATTAAAATTTTAGGTTCAACATAACTTACAGAGCTCAGCATTACAGATTTCCAGTAACTTCACTTCAGAAGCTTTTTCTCCCGTCAATGTCTCAATAATCTGAACAAAGTATTGGTTAAATTTGAACAAAAATTTCTACACAAATCCTCATTGTTTGATAAATTATTAGTCTCACCTGGTCCGAAACCTTCATACTGCAACAAGAAAAATCTGCCGCTGATTAAACTAGAAGTAAAATATTTTAAGTCTTTGATTCATGGTTTATACAGTTCATTGCTTAATATACCTTTCAGAAATAAACCACACACGTAATATTAATTGCTTTAGAACATGACTGTTTTACAGTATTTTTTATTACAACAAGACTGTGATTTTGAAGAAAACACTCGTTTGGCAATTATCGAATTGAAATCGGTAGAAAAATTTTTATATTAAAAGCAAAAGAAGTTTCAGAATTATTCTCAGTAACATCTCTTTTCAGCTGTCAGGAATCGGGGCTTTTGAAGTGGGTAGAAGTTGTGGTTTTATGATCAGACTATTGCGACTAAATTTCATACTTCGAGACTGTCGGACCGAAAATTGAGTATTTTTAGGCATACACCGCCGACATTTCAAAACTTTCAAAAAAAGTTTTTTTTTGTCTGTTTGTTGCAGCTCGTTTGTTTTATAACTCATCCTATACTTTGCTAGACTAAAAAGTAAAATTTATTGATCAATTTTTAATTTGAAGGCTTATTGTATTATAAATCATGGTATTCAATGTTCAAATAAATCGATTGCTCCTTATTTGGCGCTTTTCTGGTACTACTTAGATCGCCCAGTTTTAGCTAATTTAAGTTTTTCTCAAGGAGCCCTATATATAACAAAGATGCGTGTATTAGGGCATAACCCTGAAGGTTTCGACAGCTAATTAAGTCATCGGAAGTTATTTTGGAAAAAAGAAAACAGGAAAAACTTCATAGTAATAATTTAAAAGGTTTTAATAATTCTACAATTCATATTCTCCACCCTCCCTGCTTATTAAAGTTAGAACTTTCCCATTCCCATCGAGTCATTTTTTTTTGTCAAATCATTTTTCGTCAATTCAATTTGGAATATTATTTGAGCTTAAATTTCCCAATTTTTTTTTGAAAACTCCGCACACCTCATGAACGCAGAGCAAAATTTCCTGACTCTGAGCTCAAATCATTATCTTCTTTCAATGATTTAAAAACAAAAAGCATACCGAACACAGTAGCGGATTTAGGGGTGTGTGTGGGGGGGGGGGGGGGGGGAGGACGCTAGGGGGTCCCTTCTTTGTACTATTTTGAGATATACATTTTTGGCTGACTGACCTGACCTTAAAGTTTTTCTAAAGGTGCCTTCGGCGCCGCCAATATATACTAACTTTGAGGGGGAGCGCGCGCCGAAAAAACGCGATTTTTGGTCGAAGTTATCCAAAAAGTGCCTAAAAACGCCTTTTTTGGCCTATTTTTTTCAAAAAATTGCCTGCGGCGCAAGAAATTTGGTCAAATTAGGCTCATTATAGTTGTTTGGGAGCTCAGAAAAACAATTTGGTGGACGTAAAAAAAGATCGACAAAATTTTTCAATTTTTTTTTTGAAAATCCGCCCCCCCCCCGTCCCCGAAAATTCCTAGATCCGCGCCTGAAAACTGCTCTTAAACAGTTCTTTGGCTTGTTTTCACTAAGTTTTTTGATGTCAGTATTTTAATAACTATTCAGTTCAAATAAGTTTGAAGAGCAAAAAATTAATCCAACGTCTATTGCAAAAAGTGCGTCACTTTTGGTAACATCGTCTCGCACGTTCACCTAGTCTTGATTTCAGATGCGATTTGATTTCCGCTGCTCTCAAACCCAGTCCCATTCCAATCAACCAGAATGATTTAATTTTTTTATTGAAAATATCATTAAAATGTATGTTATTTTGAGCAGCCTCCTAAAAATGTGGAAAAATGTGGACAACGTTTTCAGTTGTAAAAGATTTGCTTGAAAACACTGGGCAACAAGATTAGTATAATTTTCAATCACATCTAAAGCGAAAACTGAACATGTTTTTTGTTCAAGTTTTTCCGCAGTGTGGAGAAAACGGGTCTGAAACTAAAGTAGTTATGGGATTTTGGTCTTTCAATCGAAACTTACAGCTATTCTCAAATTGCAACAACTCAAAAGAAAACAAAAAGAAAAAATGAAAAACAAAACATTAGCTAATCTGTAGATCCTTCCGGTGATTTTCAATGACGTGCATCTTTATATCTAGACTTTCGAGTATCGTTTTAAAGAAAAAATGAAAATTATTCATTGTTCTATGAAACTTAATTCAAACTTATTTAAAGGCATACTTATTAAAGCACAAGCGCACTTATTTCAAGCACAGTCAGAATAGAAAGGGCTGTGTCTTGACACTAGTAGTTTCATTTGAAATTTTAATGGGTATTAACTACCCGGACAAGAAAAACTGGAAATACGATATGGCAATGGTTTTGATATTTTTAAATTTTTAGTTCGAACAATGTATAAAGTTATTCTATTATCTGAACTTGCACGAAGAAAAAAAGATTACATGGATCAGCTTTAAATAAGTCTTAAAGCTACTTAGAGTACCGAGATCTAGAATTGGTGATCCTAACAAGCTTCTCAAGTTAGGATTGGTGATCCTAACATGCAACCTCGAGAAATGCATGCGGTATAATGTGAAAGCTAATGAGTAGTACGTAGCGAGGTATTCATTAACCAATACATTAAGAAGAAAAGCAAACAAATGATCAACCTCGAAAATAGTTCGACTCAAAAAGAGTTAGTCCATCCTCTGGTGAAATTTATTAGACGCTGCCGATAGTGATAACCCCCAAACGGAAACTTAGGAAGCTCACTTTATGGAAATCATAGAACAGAAACTAGAGATGATTCGACTCGGTCATGCAAAATCTAGACCCCTCGGACTACCCTGGTGCGAATGATAACGGTTTTTGGACGTGCGAACAGTACCATTAGATCTCGGTATTTGGGGGTTGGAAACATTAGTCCGAAAGAGACCTAGTTGAGAGAAGCTTAAGTTTAGATTCTTAGACCCCCTGTACCCCTACCACCGGTGTTATGCGCTACAAAAAACAGTTCCCACTACGACTTCCGGACGGCTCTTACTGAGCGAAAAGAGTCAAAACCACGGGATATGATAAGTAGTGACAAGTGATATCATGTTTTTTAAATTAAGCAAAATCAAGCGGTTGAAACGGAAATTATTTGCGCTTGCGAAAAACAACCTTTAGAACAAAAATAGGCAGTTTACAGAAAATAAGAAAATAAGAAGCGAGGGCATTTTGGTTTTATGGCAGTTAAAGACACTATAATCCAATCCCAAAAAAAGAACCCATGTGAGTGAAAACCTTCCGGCGGTTCCTTCCGGTATTAACAGCCTTTTCCCCAAAAAGTTATAATGTACCTTAGAAATAAGATAACTTGGGAAGTAGTAATGGAATATGGATGAAACTTGTTAGGTAAGACCTCCTTAGAATTTTGAACCTGAATCAAGAAGACTGACCCCCTGGGGACCCCGGGTGACCTTGAAATGTTTTTTTTTGGTGTTTAGGACCAAAATTGCAAAGACGACCCCAAAATGATTAACAGAAAGAAGCCTAATTACCAGCCGTCAATCTTTGGAGAAAATCAATCAGCTTAAAAATAATTGGGAGGAAACTTATCTATGGGAACTGAAACAGAAGCTGAAAAGTATATAATTTTTACTTTGTAACTTTTACTTCCAAAGGGCTATTAATGGAAATTCAAATAGATTGAATAGAAGTATCCCCAAACAAATTGGCAGTAATAGGAGCATAGCACCTAAAAAAGGTCTCCTAAAAAACTTGAATGGACGGGATAATTACTCAAAGGTTTTTCTCAAATTATGTACTCAAATTACCCTGGATGTGGCTTTTTAGATATTTGCACAACTTTGATAAAGATACCTATCACTAATTTGGATTTTAAGACTATAGTCGTGCGAAGAAGAATGCAATTAAAAGTTGGCGATAGGCGTACCACAGTAAACGTCAGGACTTGTAAGGACGATCATTTCTGTAACTATAACTAAGACTCAAACAGATAAACATAGCGAAAAAGGTATGGGTAGCCTATCCTTAGGAGAACAATTGGTACTGCGTTATAGTATAGTTGGTTCTCGATTAGTTGCAGAACACGTTTTGCAGAGACAAGAAATTGCGAATTTAGAAAATTGTCGGTTCTCATCGGAGTTGAAAAGATTCTTGAAGTTAGCGAGATCAGTTAAGGTACCTCAAAGGAATGGAGAAACACTGTTAGTTTTAGCAGGTCAAACTGATGATTTGCGTTGAATTAATGCGTGCAATTAATTATTTAGGATCCTCTAGATAGAGAGATTTGTTCAGTTGAGTTATTTGGGAATTTAAATGCAATTTGGCAAATGTATTAACAAATTGCGGACCTTTTCTTTTGATTAGATTATCAAATTATATACTGGCCACTTAAAGCCTTTTGTATTTGTATTTATGTTATCTGAGTTCAATTACCATTAGCAAATCCTGCGATCGTATCGAGCGGACGAGACAGCCCTAAGAGCCTTCACAAAAGGGGCAGGTAACATAATACAGCACAAAATAGTAGCCACCAACCAAACCCTTTCGGGATTGTGGATAGTAGTGAACCTCGGTCGCTTCGCTGAATTCATTGCACAAGGGATCCCTCTGCAGTGTCATTAAGAGAGAGAGTAAGAGAGATAGAGAGAGAGGGAGAGAGAGAGAGAGAGAGAGAGAGAGAGAGAAAGAGAACGAGCCTCCGAAATCTACATGAGATAACAAATTTTAATTTGCTCGCAAATAAGTTGAAGTTCCTGAATTCATAAAGTTACAGATTCATTTACATGTTTACAAATATTAGTTCAAAGTGATTATTTTCCAATATCGTCGCCGTTGGGTATGAAAAACGGATAAAACGTGACGGCCGCTGGATACTGTGGTTTGTTCTTAAAAATCAGCTCGGTTGAGTCTTCGCTCGGGTAGTTTCCGGCGGATGTCGTGGCTGAGAGAGTTTGGTGGATTGAGTCATTTGCCGGGTTCCGAATCATAGTATAGGCTGCTCCATTGGCCGAATTCCCATTTCGGAGAATTCCTTGGACTGGACTCACAGGGCGCTGGAAGGTCTGGTGATTAGAAGTTTTGTGCATGTTAGAAGACGCTGCCTGTAAATAAAACAGAAATTTCAACATTATAAAATCTGAAGATAACCCTGATACAATTTGTGAATAGAAAGCTTCATACAGCGATTATAATTTTTATACAGCCCATCATAGACAAATTTACATGATTTGTATGGAAAATGACTGATCACAGGTTGTGCATAATCTTTTTTTCACAAACAATAAAAGTAGCAGTAGTATATGTTGGATGAATTCGAAGGGGGGGGGGGGGGGGGTGAAGACCTCCATGTATTAACATAGGCTATAGAGTATCCGGTCTTCACCCTATGTATTAACATAGGCTATAGATTTCCCAATGTATTAAGATAGCCTATGTTAATACATGGAGGTCTTCACCCCCCCCCCCCCCCCCCTCCCTTCGAATTCATCCAACATATACTACTAGTAGCGTTTTTGCTGTGATAAATAATAAAAAACATTTCTTTAAAGTTGCTTTTGTCAGCATGTCTTATCAGCTCTTATAACAGAAATAACAGAAAATCTCAAGTACAACGGACCATAACTAAAGTCTAAGAAACCATACATTGCGTCATTTACGGAAAATGTGTACTTTAACATAAAAATACGACAATTTGCTATGGCTTCCATGGAGCCCTGTATGATGTATGATGCGACGCCCCCTTTTTCCCCCCTTTTGTGTCGCAGAAAGCGTTCAATTTGTTCGTAAGTATATATATGTGGCTGTTGAAGTTTAAATCAGAGTCCGTTTTTTAGAAACAAAAAATACATTGAGTAATTCTGTTTTGGTTCTGAAAATCGGATCCTATTATAGTTGAACTAATACCACAATCCACAACTGCATGCATCTGTGGAGATTAATGCCACAACTCACAACTGCATCTATGGAGGGGGACATTTATGGGGCGGGGAGGGGGATGGTTAAGAACATCTAATTCAACATACGAGGAAGTAGTAGAGAGCGAACACTCCTGCGCCCTCGGAAGAAAGGAGCGAGAAGCCACAGAGGAAGAAGGACCACCCGTAGCTGTACTTCATCTCGGCCGCACTCTTCCCTATCACACTCGGCCAGCCCTCGGCTATGCTGTTAGTAGTGGCCGCATACGTCACCAGGCTCAGGATTATGAACAGACCTACAAAAACAAAACTAAGGGGCTCATTTCACTCATTACACCAGAAATTAGCAACAGGCTGCTCAGCAAAGTTTTTTTGTTTGGATTGAACTATAGGCCAATCAAAAGCAACGGAATCTCTATATAAAAGGTTTTTAAAAGGCATTTCATATATTTGAAAAAGTGTCTAAAAATGCCAGTTTTTCAAAACATTTTACTTGCTGTGCAAAGGTTTATGACAGTGAGTCTCCCCGATTAACGTCGTAGAACAAATCTGTTTATCAGCAATATTGAGTAAGGGAAAACTGTTATATCAATTCTTCATCAAAATATTGCATAGATATCTTCATTGTTCCGATTTTCTGAGAAAGTAACGGAATACATGTATGTGCTCGGAGTCGTTTTTTTTTCTCTAGACAAAGTTAGACTTTTTAAATCCAACACTCAAATTTATAAAAAAATATTTCAGCTTGATTTTCCATCGTAAGTTATGGGGGTTAAAGTATTGTCAGTGAGCTGAACTTTGAGGTAAAATATTTATGGACTAAATGCACATATAGTCTAGTTACTGTTTCGAACATATAGTCTTAGTTACTGTTTCGAAGCAATTGCAGATTATTGTTGCGGCTTTCGAAGAAAGTGAGGAACATATATGCTAGGGATGATTTTGTTACTCAGAGCGCATTTGGATCTGAATAGCTGGACCTACGTGAGCCCTGTCGTGCGCGCACAGTATTATATCACCCTGACTGCCTGTTCAATCGAAAACCAGTGTTTTTTTTTCAAACCAAAGTTACAGAGCTTTTGGGAGTTGATTTTGGTTTTTTTGGATTGCCAAGCGCGTATGCTTGTTTAAGAGTAAAATGTCGGTGGCATACCTGCCCAAATAATAGTTTAATAGTTTCAATAAACAATGCATTTCAGCGTGTCAAATTATCCGCAATCAAAATTTTTCTAACTGAATTGAGGCCAATTATATTTAGTCAGATTGTTTTTCCTTAATTTGTAGCACTTGTAATTGATATTGGCAGTACAATAGTTATAGTTATACAAGGTTTTTCTGAAAAAAAAAATTTCCAGACTAGTAAAGGGGCAGTCGGAACATTGAGTCGGAACTCTTTACGACGTCAAAATAAGACTACTTTCTGGCAAATTAAGCACTTTGCAGATCGAATCACCCTACAATAATTTTGACAAAATTGCGTTTCCTGAACTTTTGTCTGACATCCCATTATTTTATCTTCGATTTATTTTAAGACGATAAACTAATGGGATGTAAGACAAAAGTTCAGTAAATGCAAATTTGTCAAAGTTATTGTAGGGTAATTTGATCTGCAAAGAGCTTGTTTTGCCTGAAAGTGATCTTAATTTGACTACGTCACTGTTTTATAGTTATGAGAAACCACAAAAAAGTTACAAAATAATTTAAAAAAATAAGAAACAAGTTAAAAGATATTTCCTCAACATTCATTTTTCTCAAACTTTTTGGAGTTTTAAATTTACTAATACGTTCATTTTGAAGTAATCGGAGCGGAGCGTGATTAATTTTTATTTTATAATATTTTTTATCTCATACAAACAAGATGAAGTAATATTTTGTAAAGAATTGCACCTTATTCTCGAGAGATTATTTGAAGAGAACATGAAAGAAAAAAAAATTTTAAGCCAAGGCTGAATTTTTTTGCTTATATATATATATTTCAACCTATCTAAATACTTTTTGGTAAAAAGCGGATCATTTTTGTTTGATGGGTTTCTTGTTCAGACAATTTTTTTAATAAACTTTTGGTATCGGAGGTCTTCTATATCATTATATCTGAAAGAGGTTAAGTCTTGAGCTCAAATTTAAGAAGTCATTTTTCTTTGATCAAATTTTGTACAGTGAAAAGATATGAAAACTGCAAGCTTGGCTGACTCAGATTTGAACGCGATATAGTAGCTGCTGTTCTCTCGTTTATGCTAAAAAATAATTGGACTGACAAATTTTTGTATTGAAATAAAGTTTTCATCTTCAATATTATGTTATTGGGCGCTAAGTACAATACTTTGAACTTGAAATTGTATTTTGAAGAATTTTTTCAATCAAATTGTTTTTAGTTATTGAAGCTTGTATTTCTTTTTCTAAGCAAAAACTCTTTCAAGGGCAGCTGAACAATCAAGTTTTTACCCGCTCTGGTAAGAACAGTTTTTTAAATACTGGATTTAGCACAACTTTGAGCCTTTTAGCGATTTTTAGGTTACGAAATTCTTGACCCGTAATGAGAAATTTTTTACAAAAACACGACCGCTTGTATATCAAAGCGAAGTCCTGATTTTTCCAACTGCAATTTTTTCCGACTTGCAAAATAAAAAAAACTCAGACAAAAATTGATAAAATAATCGAAAAAAGAACACAAAACTTGATTTCATTTTTCATACCTCAAAATGCTATTTAAAAAGACAAGGAGATAATTTAGCCCCTCCCATACTGCTTATAAGACCAGATGAATTGACTTAAATAAATTTGGATCGACATGACCAACCTCTTACGCGTGTTATAAGAACGCAATATATATCGCGTTAATCAAACTAAATTGGCCAAATTAGCAACTTTCAAACCGCCATAACTTCACAAAAAATCATCCCAGAGGAATAAATTTCTTTTTACATTTGAGCTCGGAAAACATTTTTTTTCCAAATGGCATAGAAAATTCCGTCACAAACATCTGATTCAAATGTCGAAAACTGACTGAATAAAAAACTATTCCAAGGATAACTTTTCCGTCAATTTCTTCCAAATCGGAATAAAAAATTTCAAAGTTGGTCAGTTTTTGCTCAACATTTTTCTCCAAATGGCATAGAAAATTCCGTCAAAAAGATCTGATTCAAATGTCGAAAATTGACTGAATAAAAACTACTCCAAGGATAACTATTCCGTCAATTTTTTCGAAAGTCGGAACAAAAGGTTTCAAAGTTGGTCAGTTTTTGCTCAAATGTTTTTTTTATTTATTCGGTCCAATTGAATAGCAAAAGTGCTACAAAAGTTTCGAAATCTACTTCAAAGTTGAATAAATTTGAACAACTAAAGTCGGATTAATTTCATTTTTGGTTCATGTGTCCAGATTTTTATTTTTTGTTGATTATGTGAAATTTTAAAGCCAAAACAATTCAGACTATCAAAATTTCTACTGCAAGAAAGTCTACTTTTTTATGTTTTGGCTGTATTCAAATCCTTGAGTGAACTATCAACCTCTGATGGTTGAATATGATCACGCTAAATTCCTTATCTAATGGCAAAAGTGAAACATAACCCCAAATGGATATAACTGACCGGGTCTCTTCGTCACGAGAAAATTATCCAGTTACCGTAATTTCATTACCAATTTCCACACATGAGGCGCATTTGCAAATTATCACATAAAATTCAGGCTGTAAAATTCAGTCTGTCTTCTACCTCAATTTGTTTATCAGGGTAACTTGACCGAAAGCACGTTTAGTAAAAAGCAGCCCCATCTATTAAAGTTTTCTTTCCATCGATTATTTTTCTTTGAACTATTTGCAGTTCTTTAGCGCCTCGGAATTTTTTGGAATAAATTTAGGGTTGGTCACCCCAAAAATGGAGAAATGTTGTAAGTTAGTACCAAAAGGGACCTTAGGGTCTTCTGAGGTTCGAATGAATTCCTCAGGTATTTGCCCACTCCTTCTTAATCCACATGTGTGTGCTATCCGTTTTTTAGACGTTAAATTTTGAAAAAACAAGAAAAAAAATTCGTTTGTTGGGTAGCTGACAGCTCTGACAAAATTGTGCTTTCCCAATTTTGGGCTTGCTTGTATATTGGGTATTTTATGACGCCATGCGGTGTGTTGTGCAGAATACAAAGTTGCTTTTATTTTGCAATAGCCGGTCAGAGAGATCCTTTAATTGAATTGCATCTACCCAGTTTTTGGCGCCCAAGGGTCGAACATGTCCTAGCCATCCGCCCCAAATGGGAATTTGTCAGTTGTAAAAACACCGCGCGCTGGGGATATACAAATAAAAGTCGGGTATGTTGACGCAAATTGAAAAGTTACAAACAAAGGACAAAAAAAACAAATGTTGAGGAACAGAAATTTAGTTCAGTTATTAGCAATCCAACATTTATATTTCTTTCTTATGCTGGCGGTGGAAGTTTTTATACTAGTTTGTGCTGGACAATGTGTCCAGAATTATCATAAGCTTCCATTTATTTAGCAAACTCAGAAGCATTACCTGAGACGCCTCCAATAAATTCTGGTTACCAAACTTTTTCAAAAAACCTTCTTTGGGTTCTAGGTTGGCAACAAGTTTGACCAACCCACAAGGCGCCCAATAACGCTCAAAACAGCTTTTTGTCGAAAAATTATGACCATTTTGGAATTTCGCTAGTAGCAAGCTGAAAAAATTTGAAACAAGGATTACCCAAAAAAACGGCCGAATAAAATTTTTAAAAATTTCGCTCGGTGTATCAGCCTGAATTAAAAATAATGATCGTAATAATAATCATAATAATAATAGTCATATAAAAAATCATAATCATAATGTTAAACATAAAAATAATAATCATAATCATTATAATAATATATTAACAATAATAATCATAATAATACAAAACACAATAATCAGGATCATAATAATCATAATAATCATAATAATCATAGTAAAAATAATATAATAACAAGAATCATCATAATAATGAAAATTACAATAATCAAAATGGTAATGATATGAATCACAATATTAGTATTCATTATAATAATTATATTAATCATAAAAATAGTAATCATAATAATCATAATAAGAAAAAAAATTAAGAAAACAATAATAATCATGCTAATAATAGTTACTATAATCATCATAATAATCATAAAAAAAGTCATAATAATCATAATGATCATAATCATCATAATAATCATTATAATCATAATATTAATCATAATAATAATCATAATAATCATAATCTTAATGATAATAAATATTATGATTATGATTATCATAATAATCATAATAATCATAACAATCAAAA